AATTCTCATGGTCTCTGGAATATACCGATAGACATATTATATCAATATACTTATATGTAATGAACACCATGAACAATGTTAGGATAAAGGAGTATAATTTCCATGGTCTCTTAAAAATACTAACAAGCATATTTTATCGGTATACTCGAATGTATTGAACACTGTGAGCAATGTCAGGGTGAAGGGGAACAATTCACATGGTCTCTAGAATATATCAGCGAATACATTCCCTTAGTATACTTGTATATAATGTACAATCTATCGATATTTCTATTGGTGTAAAATAATGTATGATATGAAATTATATATTTATTCCCTATCTATCAATAATGCAAATACTTAAATTCAAAACTGCATACACATCATAATAACACTAATTCACATCACAATAATAAAATAAATATATCATTCAATAATAAATTATCATTGTCATTACATTAAAATGAATTTTGTCCATAAATATTACATTATGGTTTATGGCATTACACATTTGTATTGTGCAAATTAATCAGAATTCTCTTCTTATTCATCAATCGACTCATCCTTATCTCCATCACAACCTTATATGTTAATTTCATTGCTATCATAGTCATCAACCTGTGTTTGTCCACTAGAGCTTAAAACATCATTCAACTCCTTAGCGTCAACATCAATAAAAATCTTCTCGACGATGTAAAAATTTGAATTTTTTTATAAGTCATTAGATAGAGAAACTCGATATGGATCAAACTAACTCACTAAGTTGAAAAACATCATCTCCCATAGTTAATTCATTGTTGTCATCCTGAACAACCTTGACATAACCCATGAGTTTTGTTTTAACTACGAATAACCAATCAACTTTTGAACAATCTTTTCTAAATGAAAGATTGTATGTCTAACAAACTTGCTAGGATTGCTTGGCAAAAATAAAGACATTATCAACATTACGGAGTTTAGCATTTGAATTAATTTCGACCAAACCATAATGAGAATTTACTCCAATTCCTTTATACATGGTGTCATACCATTTGCATTTGAATAAAATAAATATATCATGCTCATTATGATATTACAATTCAATGACCTTTTCCAACTTCCTATAGTAGTCAATTTCAAACTCATTTGAAGTCTATCCCTTTATAAAAAAAAAACCTCATTGTTATATGTCTTTCTGCTCAGCCTATATTCTTTAGTATGAAACACATATCTACTGATGGAATACCTATTATAACACTTTATCTTTTTCCAAGACTCAGACTTATAAAGATAAAATAACACCAGCATTCCCTCTCGATTGATAAACCTAGTACATGAAGTACAACTATGAATAGTTAACAAGAAATGTGTAATGAAATTAAGTATCTTGAGAGATAAGAATAATTAAATAGTACTTACATGTATTATAAACCACATGAAAATTATTCACCTTGTAATCGAAAGATTTGAGATTTAATCATTTGTAAGTTTTGCAACAGTAAATTTTGCCTGCAAGGAATTCAATAATGTATCAGTTTATGGTATTATAAGAGATAAAGTTTTTAAAAATAACAACATGTTAAGCAGTGTACTTATTGAATGAAAGATCTCAGTTCATCGCAATTAAATTACATAATTATATGTTTGTCTGAATTTTATTTCTGACAAATATCTTTTCTTCACAGTATTTTTTTGTACGGGTTATCTAGAACGTTAGAATATTGACAAATATTCACTCAAAGACACTTTTCCACCATTGTCATGCATTGGAACATGGTTGATTCATGTTCTTAATTAAGGTTTAAAATTGTACGAGATAAATGTTATAATCTCTTAAACAATATAAGCCTCATATATCAAAGTTTGTGTCTTATTTTTTACTTTTCTCTAAATGTTGAACAAATACTTGCATGGAATTAAAAGAATGTTTTGAAATATGTAAAGAAAGATAATAAAATTTTAATTATGATGCATGTGCAAACCCTAACCTCTCGAATGAATATATTTGTCTATATTAGATTGGGCCTTTAACTTTTGCATCAAATGGTAAATGTATAGGTATATGCTCTATTGAGTCGGAAAAAAATGGAGTGAATATCATTTTAAGTTTGCATATGGTCTGGACGATATTCGTTTGAAGCCTTTTCATGTGTTGTGTCTGCAACTTGTTGTAGCTTATATCTCTAAAGACGTGGCTAATCTTCATAAGTGCATCCCATATCCCTTTTGGTAATAAATCCTGGTAAGCTAATAGAATGAGTGTTTGCATAAACATATGAAAGTCATGGCTTTTTATTCCATACAATTTGCAATCCTTTAAATTCACTAACTTTGATATATTCGATGCATGCCTATTAGAAAAATATAGACTTTTATGCTATTGGTAGACAAATGATTATGCATTCTTTTCTCATATGAAATTGACTTTAGGTTTGCGACCCATGATCTAATATAAACCAACTCCATATTTTTACGGTGATAAAATATTAGGTTTGCGACCCATGATCTAATATAAACCAACTTCATATTTTTACGGTGATAAAATAAGTTCTATTCATTTTAGCCTTGATGTTGTTTTTTGTCTTCCCCTTCATGTCCATAATCATGTTGAAAATATTCTCAAACATGTTCTTTTTTATATGTATAACGACAAGGTTATGGCAAAGAAGACTGGTTATCGAGTAAAAAAACTCCTAAAAAATACTTTGTTTTATCCAATTATAGGTCAAACCTAAATCATGAAACTTTTACTTATCAGATTAAAAATCAAATATAATATCACCGTAATTCGACACCATATTATACAATTCTTCAGTTTAAAATAAACGACGCTGCAATATCTATTTTGACAATGCCAATAAAAAAGCTTTTTTGTCTGAACTTGTTATTCGTTTGCTAGAACCATTAATGACAATAAAAAAGATGTTTTATTGTTGTTTGTTAGCATGAATGTCTTGTTATTTTCCATGCATTATGAATATGCTAGTTTTATATATATATATATATATATCTTTTCTTTTTCATTATTATCATATTAAAGAAATTATATGGCTTTCTATTTTTTATTTGTGGAAAAATGATTATTTGGTCAAAACCTAATTAGTGATTCTCTTAATCTATTAAAAAAAAATTAAAAGTGACAATCCTGTTTAAAATAAAGAGGAAGTATATATTTTGTAAATACAAGAAAAAGAAACATGTTTAATCCTGATAATATACCTAGTTACATGTTTTTTGGACATCACAATGTAGTTTGTTTTAAGAACATGACATCTAAAATTAGTGGAATGTACTAGTGAATTTCACATGGTTCATGAGTTTTCTTTTTAATTACCATTCCTTCTTCGCCTCCATCCCTATTTATTTATATGGACAGTCCTCGACATATAAAAATAAAATTGAACTATTTATTTTATTTAAAATATAGATATTTTATATTAAAATAAATTATTTATAAATCACATGCCTTCGTGTTTCTCATGATGATTTATTATTTATGAGAATGAGAAGTAATCTTAATATATTTACCTTAAAATATTTTATAATAAATTTACGTTGTAGTCTAGTCGGTTACCAAGCATGGTCGGCTAGAGGTCATGTTTGCAAGGGGCACAATTATTTTCTAAATTGTGACATGTGATTATCTATCATTTTTTTTTGCTTAATTAAAAATAAACCAGGTCTATTATTGAACTTTTTTTTTTCTTCTTTTTTTCACTCTGTAACAAATTTATTAGATTGACTTACTCTTTAATTTTAATAGATTCACTTACTATTTATATTTATGTGTGTATTTTCTTTTTATTTTTTTTCTAAATTATTTTTTTAATTTTAATTATATCTTTTAATATTAGATTTATTAGATATTAAATTTTATAATTTTTTTGATTTACTTTTTATAAGGTTATCTCAATCTTTGACTTAAATCCTGAGTTTGATCAATTAACTTAGTTGACTCAATTTTTTTACTTCTTTTCTACTTAACCTTTTTTTTTCTATTAAATTCATCATTTAACATTGACTTTATTAGAAATTATATTTTATAATTTATTTTAGTTTGTTTTTTATGAAGTTATCCTCATCTCGTAATTCAAGTCACAGATTTAACATATTAACTCGGGTTAACTGAAGTTATTTTTTATATTCTTTCTTTATTGATTTTTTAAATTTTAGTTATATTCTTCAATATTAGATTTATTGAGAATTAGATTTTATAATTTGTTTTAATTTATTTTTTGTAAGGTTATATCAGTCTCATGATTTGAGTTATGAGTTTGACAACTTAATCAAGATTGACTCGAGATTTTTTTAATTATATTTTTTATTTCATCATTAAACATTGAGTTTATTAGAAATTAAACTCTATAATTTATTTTAATTTATTTGATACGAGGTTATTATGATATTATAATCCAAATATAAATTAACATATTAACTTAAGTTAACACAAAACAATCTAATTTATTATTATCTTAATATTTATAAAAATATTATTAAAAATATTTATTTATATTAAATTATATTTTTATTAATATTCTAGGTAAATTTTAAATCAGTCATCCAAGTGTTTCGGAGAATTGCTTTAAATCTTTTTTTACTAAAATAATATTAGTAATATTTAAATGTTTTTTATATTAAAAAATTTAATCAAATCCGAGACAATGATTTAGTTTGGATGTATACGACAAAGATGCTTTTCTTAGAGGATAAATATTAATGAAATTAGAAATATTTCCACATGTCCGTATTGGAGGTCGAATTCAAGCAGGGCCACCCTCCATCTGAAAGCAACATTGCCAGCTAGCTAGCTTAGAGAAACAGGTTGTGATTATCTGTGAAACGTCCTTTCTTCTTCTATTTTGTTTTTTAGTTTAATAACGCAGTTTCTTCTTCTATTTTGTTTTTTAGTTTAATAAGGCAGTTTTAGTTATTTTTTATTTAAAAATATATTAAAATAATATATTTTTTATTTTTAAAATATTATTTTAACATTAATATATTTTAAAATATTAATTTAAAATAAAAAAATAATTTTTTTAAAATAAAAAACACTAACTTTTCCATGTAAATAGGTGTGAACAGCTTGTTTTTAAGATTTGATCATCATCAGCTTTTAAAAGAAAAGCTTGCTAACACAACCTCACATAGATATAGAAAAGCTTTAAACCCAGTAAGAAGAAGAAGATGAAGATAGAGATTGTAAACACGAAATGGATAGCCACGGTTGCAAGCATATGGATTCAAAGCAGCGTTGGTGCGTCCTACACCTTCGGTATCTACTCTTCCATCCTCAAATCCTCTCAAGGCTACGACCAATCAACTCTTGACACCGTCTCCGTCTTCAAAGACATCGGTGCCAACGCAGGCATCCTCTCCGGTCTCCTTTACTCCGCTTTCACTCTGCAAAATAACCGAAGAAGATTAGGTGTGTTTGCTGGACCGTGTGTTGTCCTCTTGGCCGGTGCAATCCAGAGCTTCTTGGGGTATTTCGTGATGTGGGCATCTGTTGTTGGGTTGATTCGCCGGCTTCCGGTGGCGGTGATGTGTTTCTTCACATGGATGGCTGCTCACGCGCAGACGTTTTCTAATACGACGAATGTGGTGAGTGGGGTTCACAATTTCGGAGATTATGGTGGGACCATCGTCGGGATCATGAAGGTATGTCTCTTATTACCATTTTCTTGCTTCTCCTGTTTTTTCGTTTTGACTGCTTTTTGGGTTTTGTTTTTTATGTTCTTGTTTGTTTGCTCGAGGCTAATCACAATTCAATTAATAATTTTTATTTTCTTGTTTGTTAATTCCATTAATAATACAGGATTTACGTTTTTATTTTATCTATCTATCTATTTATTTATTACTTATGTTCTTATTTTTATTTTTAGTAAGTGGAGTAGATGTGTTAATATTTTATTTTTTGTATTTATTGGTATAGAAGGTTATTGATATATTTAATTAAATGTTTGTCTAATTTTTTTTTAATTTATAATTAAATTCTAAAAAATATAGTTAAAAAACTTATATATTTATTTTTTTATCTAAAAAAATTATGGACCGACAGTGAAATGCTGTTTAATTAACCAGTAATATATAATAGAAAAAGATAACATTAGGAGCTAGAAAATGGTGCTCACAATTTTATTTTGTTTTGTTTTTGTCTGTACGTCGCTTTCCCTTGATGTACCTGCGATTGATTCATGGCTGCATTCATTACACGCCAACATTAGCCGATGGACTCAATTTTAATTTAAAGCTACTTTATATATATATATATATATATATATATATATTATTTTATAAAAATAACAATTTGAAAGAAGATGTAAATAAAGATTTTTAAAATAGATAAAAAAGGATCTAATTAAGATTTTTTAAGAAATCAAGGATAAAATTGATAATAAATAATGTTTAACGGGTTTAGCTTGTGCCATTAAAACATTTTATATTTCAGTAGTTCAAAAATAAAAATAAGTGTAAACTCAAGAGTTATTTGTCTGAATTAACATATTTCATCATAACAATCCTGCACTTGAAATTTTCTTTTGCCTTCATTTTATTTTTAGAGAAACAACTTAAAACTTCTTAAATCATATATGAACACAAGAACAAATGTTGACTATAAGGACAAAGGCACTTTAAATCAAAAGGGATAAACTTGCACTGTATTTATTCCTTAGGCTAAGAGACAATAGTAGGTAACTTTGAGAAGTGTAATTTAATTAATTATATTTTAAATTTATTTTTTAAAATCAGTTTGAGTATTATAAATTTTAGAGTTATTAGAAAGTTATTTAATTATTAATTTTAAAATTTTAAAAAATTAATTAAATATATATAAACTAGCCGAACATCCATACCCATAATTAAAAGAGAAAGAGAGAGGGAGAGAATCATTCTTGCTTGCTTTCTTTCTTTCTTCCTTTCACATCTCATCATTTAAAGATGCTAACTTGCACCGCATTTATTCTTTAAGCTAAGCAACATCTGGACTCGTTTTCATAACACCTACTGTGCTAGACGTGTCCATATAGCAAAACGATCAAGAAATACATCTGCTCTTATGATCTTTCGTTAAGATTTGGTCCGTGGCTCATCAGAGCTTGAGCTCATGTCTAATACTTATTTCCTTTTGAATTTACCTCTAAAAGATGTAAGCACTCACATACTTCGTATATTATTAGATCAAACTGGCCATTTAACCCGTAATTAGCTGCGGGTTGTAGTTTTTTTTTTTAATTATTGGATATATATATATATATATATATATATATATTCAATGTATTTTTTATATAAATTTATAGAAAATCAATATAGAATGATATGATCTATGAATTAGAATTTTTAATAAATTAAGTATTAAAATTTGAAATTTAAGAAAAATTAATTATATAAAAGAATCTAAAAAAATTAAGGGTGAAATTTATTTTATTAGAGGACAAATAAAAATTATTTGTTAATAATTATTATATAAAAATAATTATTTGCCTACTTGACTCTCTCATCCTTAGCCATTTCCTCTCTCTAGTTTCATAAGTAAGCTGGTTTTGAAAATATTATATATTTTGAGTGTTTCTTGAAAATAGAATATGGCGCTGTTAGAGAGATCGCACTCTACTAAACTAGCATGCTAATAGCATATCTCAATTAATTTAAATCTTGATATGATTATTTAACTTATTAGATTAATTAATAATTAGATAATTATCAATCAAATTAACTAGCTGTATTCAATTTAAAATTAAATAGGATTCCTTAATAGGTTAGTTGTATTGCATTTAAATTTTATTAGGATTCTTAACTTAGTATGTTAATTAATAATTATGAATAAGATTTTGTGAATAAAATGACAATAAATCAGGTGTTTTGACAGCTAAAAACTTTATTGTATTATATTTTAATAAATTTTGATTTTTTTTTTTATAAAATCACACACTGTGCATAAGAGCAAAATTGACGCACATCCTTTATCAGTCTGAAAGTGAATATTTCCTTGCAATTAGCATTGTTTTTGTATGTAACGGCTCCTACTTGCTGTCCTCTAAACTTGTAGGACTACGACATTGTATGTAAGATTCAAGTGTGTGGGTTTCAATGCTCCCGAATGTGTTGTCCTCTTCGATGTAATATTCCTGAATCTGCATTTGCAGATTACTCTCTTTTTCAATGGTGTGCTCGAAGCATGCCATGCTCTACTGTTTCATGTAATTTACCATTTCAACTTCCTGTCCAGGGCTTTCTTGGTTTGAGTGGAGCAATTCTAATCCAGCTCTATCAAACAGTGTGCAATGGTGATCCTGGCACTTTCCTTCTTCTTCTTGCACTGACGCCAACTCTAGTCTCTCTCTTGTTCATGAGTTTGGTACGAAACTATGACACAAATACAAAAGATGACAAGAAGTACTTGAATGCTTTCTCTGCAGTTTCTCTGATTATTGCAGCTTATCTCACAATCATCATAATTTTGGAAAACATCAGTAGTCTGTCATCGTTGGCGCGCATAATTACGTTCACAGTCTTGCTGCTTCTAGTTGCCTCACCTCTTGGAATTGCAGTCAGAGCCCATAGAGAGGACTCTGATAGGTATGCACAAGCGTTACTGGAACAGAGGGGTAGCAAACAGAACGCAGTGATATCTTCTGAGATCTGTAAAGCAGAGGATTCTATAGAATATCATGAACTGCCTAGTGAAGAAGGTCAAGCAAAGGCTGCTTCTGACGACGAAAGGCTGTCAGATGAAGGAAACATGAATCTCTTGCAAGCCTTATGTAGCGTAAACTTCTGGTTGTTATTTATCGCTATGTTTTGTGGCTTAGGTTCTGGACTTGCTATGATAAACAACATCAGTCAAATAGGAGAATCTCTGGGTTACACAGCCACTGAAAGAAATTCTTTGGTTTCATTGCTGAGTATATGGAACTTTCTTGGCCGTTTTGGAGCTGGCTTTGTGTCAGATATTTTCTTGCACAGAGGTGGTTGGGCAAGACCACTGTTTGTCGCTGTTACTCTAGCAATCATGACCATTGGCCATGCAATTGTTGCTGCTGGTTTTTCCAAGAACTTGTACTTGGGTTCGGTACTAGTTGGTGTTGCTTACGGTTCACAGTGGTCATTGATGCCTACCATCACTTCTGAGATATTTGGGGTGGGGCACATGGGGACTATATTCAACACCATTGCCCTAGCAAGTCCCGTTGGATCTTATACATTCTCTGTAAGAGTAATCGGGTTCATTTACGATAAAGTAGGAAGCAGTGAAGATAATACATGCTTCGGCAGTCGATGCTTTATGTTATCTTTTATGATCATGGCATCTGTTGCTTTCTTTGGAGTTCTTGTTGCTCTCCTATTGTTCTTTCGGACCAGGAGGTTCTATAAGTCGGTCGTGTTCAGGCGTTTGCAAAATTTGTAGAGACATGAGAGGTGAAGGTGGAAGGTTTTGTGAGACAGAATGTATGTTACAGTCAATTTTCCTGTTCAGGTTGGCGTGCATGGCAAGGTGCAGTCCGTTTTGTATTTTGGTTTCTTATTTATTTTATTTGTTTTTCGAGTGTTTGATTTCTTTCTTTCCTTTCTTACCTTTTTTTTTCCTCTGGTTCTTGGTTGGGCATGATTTCAGGATCATCATTCTACTGATAAGTCCTATATGATACGATCGAATCAGAGAAATTTTCAGCTTAATGTCAAGGATAAGAGTCAACCAGATCTCCTTGTAATCACAACAGCATCAGCATAATCACACATATATGATCATCATTCCAGCTTAATTAATGTCCTGATTGCTGTATGATTTTCTATCGTATTACAGCTGCCTAATTTCTATCGTATAGCTATTTTGATCTCAAATGCTTTGTGTATTCAAGTTCTGCAAGGATGAAAATCAAGCCTTTTGGCCTTAATATTATACTTTATTTGTTCACTTTCTTTTCTGTTCATGGAATCAGAGCCTTGCTCTCTTATAATAGCCCATCTTTTCCTTACTCTAATCTTCCTCCTCTTATGCAAATCCAAAACGTAACAAACTTAGAATTCACAATAAAAAAAAAAAGGTTATAAAGTTAAAATTAGATGGATAGAAAAATAATTATTTAAATAAAAAAAGGGAAGTTATTGGATAAAAAATCTTAATTCATTGATTATAAAGAATTAAGAATTGAAAGTATTTGGATAAATACTATAAAGATAGTTATTTTTAATAAGTTTTGAAGAATTTGATAAAGAACAGAGAGTATGAGCAACCTTATAAATATACAATATTATTCTAAAAAAAATATATAAATATAAGTTGAATAACTCTATTTAAATTATATAAAATGTTTTGAACAAAGCTGAAAAGCAACAATAGAATTTTAAATAAAATAGAAAAAAATATATTTCTATTTTGTTGGCCCCCAACAATTAATCTAATTTTATAGGGGACATTTAGAATCTTCTAGAAAAATTTCAGCATTATCCAATAATTAAATCAAAAATTAAAAAATTTCAGCATTATCCAATAATTAAATAAAAAATTATATTTGTTAGTATAAAACTACGTCTTAGAAAAAAAAACTCTAGTAACGAAATATTTTCAAAAAGAAAACTCAAAATAAATGGAAACACAAGTTGTTACCGCTTCTTCTCATGTTGTTAAGGATGCAAAATCTCTAATGTTCTTGAATAATAAAGAAACCTTACCAAAAAGAAAATCCACAAAAATAAAAGAAAACACAAATTATTACTGCCTCTCCTTATGTTACTAAAACTACGAGATGCTTTCAACCATATAATGATCTCCTTTCTTTGCATGAATTATATTAATTAAAGCCTTATTATCCTTTGTTGAAGTCTTTGCATGAATTATATTAATTAAAGCCTCATTATTCTAAAAACTAGATTTAATCTAAATATCCTAAATAAACCCATTAAGTGTCTCTTTATTTATTTTTTACCCTTGACATTTTAATTAGTCTAATCAACACCAATAATGAGTCTTGTGGTAATACTTGTTGATTGTCATCATTCCCCATCTTTTCTAGATTTAATCTAAATATCCTAAATAAACTCATTAAGTGTCTCTTTATTTATTTTTTTACCCTTGACCTTTTAATTAGTCTAATCGACACCAATAATGAGTCTTGTAGTAATACTTGTTGATTGTCGTCATTCCCCATCTTTGCAAAAGAATTAGTTAAATTAATAATACAAATATCATCTATAGGTAATACATCCACATAATCATGCAACAAAAAATCAATGACACTATTTTTCATAATCTTGTTAATATAAAAAACATTATTTTCTTGTATAAAAGCTTTTATTGACATCATTGTTTTTTCTTAATCATTTTTTTTCTTGACAAGTAGCCTATCTTTTCTCTCTCATATTAACCATTTTATTTTAGTAAGTTAATTTCATTGACATATTCTAAAAATTCAAATTCCTAACTAGAATAACTTCACTCCCATGTACGCAAACATACACATGAACTTCTTAGCCCTGGATTCCACTGAAGCTTATGCCCTTGATTATTAGAACAACTTTTGGATCATAACCTTCACCAGGGTGTTCATTGTAGTCTATTTTGATAATAATTCCAACTTGTATATCATTAAATTTAAGGTTTTTGTAGGTTATATATTGAACATATCCATCTTTTTTAGGGATAGTCTTGATATGAACTACACACCTTAAGCTCCATATGAGGAGGTTTTTCACATTAATATTTGATACCTCACTCAACATCTCATTGCCAATTTATACATTGATGCTAATCATAAAACAAACTACAAAATTACATATGAGAATATTCATTAGAGGTTGTCCATATGTAATTCCATACTGAGCACATTTACTCTTTATTACAATTACAATATCCCCCACACTTACATAACTGTCTTCAACTATCATGGCCAACAACATCATCCTACTTCTAGTGCAAGTCATGGGTATGATTCACGAGATATATTTTATTACTCTCAACAATATTCTTCATTTAATTAGCAGCATGACTACTCTTCAAGGCTGTCACATATTTTTTATCAATTATGTGACAAGTTAGGACATAATGTATAAACATATCACTCTTGCCCAAAGACTTTTTGGCCATATATGGATTGTGATTTCAATTCTTCAAACAAGTGTTAGACTTGAGAGCCAAAAATTATCTTACATTTGATCACCAAAATCTTTTTATGCACTCTAACTATGGTCAGAATAAAAATGTGATTGCTGAAAGTGATAACAATAAGTGGTAAAGGAATTCCAATCTTCATGTTAGTTCTACTAATATTGACTTATTGACAGTCTCTTTTATATTAAATAATATCTTGCATACACCTTCAATTAAAAAAAATCTTATATCCTTCTCTCAATTTTACAAATAAAATAATACTTTTTTAAAGTTTTTCCCCAACTATTTTCTTATGAAAGATCTAAGCAACGAGGCATCCTTGATCCGAGGTCAAATTAGGAACAATCTATATGTATAACTATGATATCTTTTGCCTATTAAGTCATTCTCACATCCTCCCACCTCTCTTATCTCTTCCTCTCAACTATAGCATCAGTGACTTGACCACCCATCTTTGTCTGTCTAATAGAGATTACTTGCAAGTTAAAATATTTGTATTTTTTATCCTTTTATTTCTTAAAACTTTTATGACTCCTACTTATATAATAAAGTTCATAAAATTCCTTTTCAAAGCACTTTAATCAAGTGTGATAAACCTTTTTAAGTTATTTATTTAGATGTTTAAGGTCATTCCTTGTTGTTTATTTTGATAATTTTGATACTATATTATTTTTTTGATTATTTCACCAAATACACTTGATTGTATCCTTTGAAACTTAAATCTAAAACGCCTAATGCTTTTTAGCAATGTAAAACATTAATTGAATTTTTTTACAATATCAAAATTAAAATGATATACATAGATGATGATGGAGAATGTCAAGCTCTTTCACATATCGTAACAAAGTTTATCTTAACACATCACCTTTCCTCCTAACACTTTGAACACATCAACTCAACTAAGCACAAACACATTGTATTATCAATATTGGCCTCATACTTCTTCAACAATTTCCTTTGAATTTTAGACATTTTCTTTCCAAATCACCATATACTTGATTAATCAAGTCTCTACTCTAGTTTTACATAATCATATCTTTTATTACAAATATTTTCACTATTATTCTAACTATTAATCTTTATGAGTGTTTAGTTATCTATCTTATCCTTGGTTAAGGCTATATACGAAACATAAGTTAAAAACTTGTCCCTGACATTCCTTGGTTACTCTTTAAAACTTCATGTTTTTACTTGTTTTGATATTTCCATTAATAAATATTCATTTCTAAACATGTAAACACTTGTCAAAATTTCTTTACTTTAAAAAATATTTGATGACTCAATTTGTATATCACTCTATAGTCAATTTTAAAATTTATTTATTCCTTTATTAAAAAAATACTTGGCAAGCACTTCTTCTCCCTATACTCAATCTTCACTCGATTCCTCTTTTTATTTGCTAAACACCTCTCTCATAAATAACTACCATGAACTTTGTATTTTTTAATTCAGAAACAACTTATCCTTCACGCAACTTTATCAATTCTACTTCAACATCTTATTGCTCTAAAATCAATAAAATCATATTTTAACGATTTATATTAAGTAATGTTTTTGCTTTGCCTCTACTCAAGGTGCTACCAATTTCACTTTAACTTATGATATAGTTCTCTCTCTTATCATTCCATATATTTATCTTTTTTGTCTCATTCCTTTTATATTGTTAAGAAAGCATAAAATAGTATTTTCAAATCTAGAAAACGTTTTTTTCTCACCGCCAATACCTCCTCCCATTCACCTTAATCAAACTTGAAAAAAAAAAGAGGAGAGAGAAAAATATTAGATTTTTTACATTCAAGAAACAAACAAAACTCAATCTTAATGTTCATAGGTTTATTTTTCCAGGAGGAGATCCATTAGGGTATTTAGAAATTTTATCCTACTAAAAATGTAAATCAAGGTTTGAAAATATATGTTTTTCATTTTCAATTTTATTTTTTTGACTGATTGAAGGGTCTTTTGAGATTAGAAATTGGTTTGATGTGAGTTTAATAATATTTATTAGGGTTTTTTATGTGAAAAAAACGGTTGAAAATGAGTTTTTAGAATTTTAAAACTTGAACCTCGACTTTTTTATAATCAAAGGTTATTAAAATCTAAACCAATAGTTACACTTTGCTTACCAACATGAACAATATATATATATATATATATATAAGAAAAATAGAGTAGATGATGGGTTATCCATCTTAAAAAAAATAAATATATAGGCATGTATATCTGACCTTTAAGACCTAATAGTATGGCCTCTTTCCTCTTTTTATAGCCCTTTTGATTCTTTTATTTTTTT